GGAGAGGCCCTGGCCCAGGTTGCCCAGAGAAGCTATGGCTGCCCCTGGATACCTGGAAGTGTCCAAGGCCAGATTGGAAGGGCTGGTGGAAGGTGTCCCTGCCCATGGCAGGGGGTGGCACTGGATGGGCTTTAAGGTCCCTTCCAACCCAAACCAGTCTGAGATTCTGTGAGAATCAAGAGCAGAGCAACCACAAACCCATCACTGCTTCCCACCGTGTCCATCCCTCCCTTCAGGCCTGGGATTTGGAGGAGCCCACGCAAACTTGTAGCACCTTCAACCTCCTCCTCCGGCAGCAAGTTGGAAGTGAACATCCCCTGCGTGTTCCTTGGCCTTTCCAAGCCCAGCAGCTCTTGCAGGAAGGGGCAGGGAATGCCTTTCCCTGGGACTTCCAATCTTCTCCTCGTGGTTTCTTTGCTGCTTTTGTCCTCCCGCCCTTCCTGCCCTCTGTGCAGGCTGGGCTTGGTGGTTCACAGAGCTGATGGTTCATCCCCTGCTGCCCAGGTGATGTCCTGATATCCTTTATTCCCCTAATTCCTTGTCTTGGGGAAGCTCCAGCTCTGCATTTCATCCCGTGTGAACAGAACCCCCAAAACTGGCCTTTCTTTCCCACCAGTTTTCCCCCATTTTCAGCAGCCAGGACCATCCCTGTCCCTGTGCTGCACTTGGGCGGCTGCTGGACTTAAAAACCCTCTTCCAGAGGGTCTGTTTGGGGAATCCCAGTGAGTCTGAGCACTTGTACAAACAGGGTGACATGTGGCCAACGGATGGAGGGGAAGAAGCTTCCCATTTCACCAGGAATTACTTATTTTGGCTCAGTGCATGGAAATGTTTGATTTTGGAGTGTTTGCACCGTGCTGACCCTTCCCACGGTCCCACCCTCAGCAGGGCCCAGCACCCTGTGACCCCACACTGGGATTAGTCTGTTCCCAGCCCTGAGGTTAAATTCAGCAAGAGCTGATTTGGGCTTTGACACCATTTCTGCCCAAGGTTTGAAGCCAAACTGTGATCCAGCATCAACCCCTGAGCCACGAAGTTCATGGGCACCTGTCTTTTGGGGGTCTCAGAGCTCAGCCAGCAGCAGCCTGGCTGTGGATTTGGGGAGGAATATGATGAAACCAAGGGTTATAAATTTATTTTTTAAAGTCTAATTTAGCACTGAGTGTTTACCTCGGGTGTGAGGCTGGAGAGCCAGGTGAGTCTGCCCAGGGTCCATGTTCCTCCCTCCAGACCCATTGGGGGTTTGGGGACAGCCCTGGGCACCCTTCCCTCCTGCAGAGGTGTTGGAATGAGATCAGCTGTCATCCAGAACTTTGGACTCCTGCTCCATGCCTGGCCTGGGAGGAAGGGTGTGACAGCAGTGCCAGAGCATGGGCATGGGTTGGGGGTGAGCCTGGGCACCCCCGTGGCCCTGATGGGGTGACAGAGGGGACATGGCCTGGGAAGGACACGGCTGGGTCACTCAGTGCTTTGGTTACTGCTGGACATGGCAGTAACAGCACTGGAGAAGGGATGTGAAGGGATCTGTCACCTGAGCCAGGACACATCACATCAGCCAGGGGCCATCGTGTGAGCCAGGATCCATTAAAACTCCCAGGATCCACCACTGCAGCCAGGATCCACCACTTCACCAGTGATCCACCACTGCAGCCAGGATCCACCACATCACCAGTGATCCACCACTGCAGCCAGGATCCACCACATCACCAATGATCCATCACCTCAGCCAGGATCCACC